TGCATTTGGGACGAATGACTATTACCAAGGTAAATGACGATCACCGAGTCAATATTTTGATGAAAAAATGTCATGATTACCGAATATTACGAAATTCGATGACTACAATATCCGGTGGTGCATGTGTGGTTGATACAACCAAGGTTTATGGGTTGAGGAAATCAACAATTCACTAAACTCAAGATAATGAAAAGATAAGGGCTTGCGTGGTACCCCAAATTGTGACCTATTGAAAAAATCGGAAAGTGATCAATATGGCTAAATAAAACTGAAAAATGCTCATGGATGACAAATGGTTATGATCTGAGAGAAAGCCTTATCTTATTATAAAACTGTTTGAAAGCAGGAAGAAAAGCCTATAAATGAGTGCATCTTTGGTTTAATTGGTTTTGAGTGGTGAGAGTGCCGCTGCAGACCACACAGCAGCAGAGAATTTTCCAGCCAAATTGCTGGAAATTATTGCTGAGGGTGTCTATGCACCTGAGTGTTTAATGCTGATGAGACAAGATAGTTCTGGAAGATGCCTTCTAGAACTTACATCAGCAAGGACACAGTGCTCCTGGATTCAACGTAGCAAAGGACCATTTCAGCTGTGTACTAATGCATCTGGTGACTAAGTACAAACTCATGCTTGTTTATTGCTCAAAGAATCCCCGTACTTTAAAACAGAAAGACAAAACTGCATTGCCTCTTATCTGGTGCTCAAACCCGTCAGCATGGGTGAAAGAGGAATTATTTGCTGACTGGTTCAAGCATTGTTTTATTCCTGATGTCATGTTGTATTTGTACAGCAAGATCCTCCCATTCAAGAGTCTCCTGACTCTTGATAATTCCTGTGCTCATCTAAAACTGTTGCAGGATTTGAATCTAAATGTATATTTTTTTTTGCCACCAAATATGACATCACTGATACAAGCACTAGATCAAGGTGTAATAAAGCATTTTAAGTGTATCTTCCATACTGAAAGTTAAGACACATGTGCAACATCAGGATATCTTTATTGTAGACGTTTTGCCATCCAGTGGCTTTATCAATACAGATTCTAGGACATACTTAGAAGACAGTAGAACTACATACAAAAGATGAGGTAATCAGTCCTTCAGCCTTGGAGTTAGTGTTCACAGCATCGTGGTGGTGGAGAATCTGGAGCAAAGGCAAGGAGACTGGCGGTTATATAGGCGTCAGTGGATAGGGACGTGTAGCAGACGAAGGCATAGCCACTGGTAGGCAGGATTCCCCAGTGGAAGTGGGTCCTACCCAAAGGGATGGGTTAGTTGAAGTAGCCGTGAAGGTCTTGTAAATGTCCTCTGAACCAAGGTTACATGATGTTGCAGTGTCTGACAAGTTGTGCAAGAAAGGTATAAAATACCGACAATATGAAAGTTAAGACACATGTGCAACATCATGGAATCTTGGTTCAGAGGACATCTACAAGACCTTCATGGCTACTTCAACTAACCCATTCCTTTGGGTAGGACCTACTTCCACTGGGGAATCCCGCCTACCAGTGACTATGCTCTCGTCTGCTACACGTCCCTATCCACTGACGCCAATATAACCGCCAGTCTCCTTGCCTTTGCTCCAGATTCTCCACCACCACGATGCTGTGAACACTAACTCCAAGGCTGAGGGACTGATTACCTCATCTTTTGTATATAGTTCTACTGTCTTCTAAGTATGTCCTAGAATCTGTATTGATAAAGCCACTGGATGGCAAAATGTCTAAAATAAAGATATCCTGATGTTGCATGTGTCTTAACTTTCATATTGTCGGTATTTTATACCTTTCTTGCATATCTTCCATACTCACAGAGTGGTGCAGAAACTGATTGCAGCAATGGATGATGACTCGGAGCTTAACATTTATGAGAGGATTCAGAGAAACCAGTTAGTCAGATCTGACTCCTGGAGGTAGGAAGTAAAATGTGTGCACTCTGAAGGAGTGGTGGGGATATTGCAGTTGGGAGGGTCACCTGAGTTGCAATGTTGGCATGCCTCTGGCAGCTTCAACCATGAACCTTATTCAGTAATATTAGTCTATAGTTTAAATCTGCTCAAAATGCTGTGCACAATTTGGAACTTTTCTGAACTGGTTACAAGTGGACTGTTAACCAAACCTTGGAACACCTGAGTATTTTTTTTATAACAAAAAAGGAATAATACTAAAGTTATTTTTATAACAATCCTTTGATGTGTTCTAATATTACTAACTTATAATAAAATAAACTGAAATACAAATAAATAATCAAAATGGATTACAATGCAGATGCAAAAATATGTATCTTGATCTGATCTACCAGTACGCATTATAGTGTTTTAAATACGTAACATATTATCTGGCATAAAAGGCACATGAGCATATAAGATGATGCTTCCAAGCAGTTGTAATGTAATGCTAGTAAACAATTGCTAAAGCATAGCCAAAAGCCTACCCTTGACCCTGACCTTGAGCATATAAGGTGCAGGCTGATTTTCCAAGCCTTTTTGAGGGAAACAAAGTGCACCTTAACTGCCACAAAATATGGTACATAACAAAGCAAAATACTCTATACATTATAACATCATGAAATTTAACATGGTTATGTTCACGTGTAAATTTTACAGAAAATATTATGATAAGTGGTAAGTTATTAAATGCTGTAAAGAGTTTTTATGAGGATAGTGAGGCTCAGGTTAGGGTGTGTAGAAGAGAGGGAGACTACTTCCCGGTAAAAGTAGGTCTTAGACAGGGATGTGTAATGTCACCATGGTTATTTAATATATTTATAGATGGAGTTGTAAAGGAAGTAAATGCTAGGGTGTTCGGGAGAGGGGTGGGATTAAATTTTGGGGAATCAAATTCAAAATGGGAATTGACACAGTTACTTTTTGCTGATGATACTGTGCTTATGGGAGATTCTAAAGAAAAATAGCAAAGGTTAGTGGATGAGTTTGGGAATGTGTGTAAAGGTAGAAAGTTGAAAGTGAACATAGAAAAGAGTAAGGTGATGAGGGTATCAAATGATTTATATAAAGAAAAATTGGATATCAAATTGGGGAGGAGGAGTATGGAAGAAGTGAATGTTTTCAGATACTTGGGAGTTGACGTGTCGGCGGATGGATTTATGAAGGATGAGGTTAATCATAGAATTGATGAGGGAAAAAAGGTGAGTGGTGTATTGAGGTATATGTGGAGTCAAAAAACATTATCTATGGAGGCAAAGAAGGGAATGTATGAAAGTATAGTGGTACCAACACTCTTATATGGGTGTGAAGCTTGGGTGGTAAATGCAGCAGCGAGGAGACGGTTGGAGGCAGTGGAGATGTCCTGTTTAAGGGCAATGTGTGGTGTAAATATTATGCAGAAAATTCGGAGTGTGGAAATTAGGAAAAGTGTGGAGTTAATAAAAGTATTAGTCAGAGGGCAGAAGAGGGGTTGTTGAGGTGGTTTGGTCATTTAGAGAATGGATCAAAGTAGAATGACATGGAAAGCATATAAATCTATAGGGGAAGGAAGGCGGGGTAGGGGTCGTCCTCGAAAGGGTTGGAGAGAGGGGGTAAAGGAGGTTTTGTGGGTGAGGGGCTTGGACTTCCAGCAAGTGTGCGTGAGAGTGTTAGAGAGGAGTGAATGGAGATGAATGGTACTTGGGACCTGACGATCTGTTGGAGTGTGAGCAGGGTAATATTTAGCGAAGGGATTCAGGGATATGTTGTGTATCTTTATATGTGTATGCTTCTAAACTGTTGTATTCTGAGCACCTCTGCAAAAACAGTGATAATGTGTGAGTGTGGTGAAAGTGTTGAATGATGATGAAAGTATTTTCTTTTTGGGGGTTTTCTTTCTTTTTTGGGTCACCCTGCCTCGGTGGGAGACGGCTGATTTGTTGAGAAAAAAAAAAAAAAAAAAAATCAGGGAAACTGGTTATTTTTACATAGTCGGACGTGAGTCCTGGAAATGGGAAGTACAATGCCTGCACTTTAAAGGAGGGGTTTGGGATATTGGCAGTTTGGAGGGATATGTTGTGTATCTTTATATGTATATGCTTCTAAACTGTTGTATTCTGAGCACCTCTGCAAAAACAGTGATAATGCGTGAGTGTGGTGAAAGTGTTGAATGATGATGAAAGTATTTTCTTTTTGGGGATTTTCTTTCTTTTTTGGGTCACCCTGCCTCGGTGGGAGATGGCCGACTTGTTGAAAAAAAAAAAAAAAATTATATTACGGTAAAACTGTGATAGTGTGAATAACTTTTTATATCTAAAATTTTCATAATTTGATAATTAATGTGAATCAATTTAAGGTCAAAGCCTTTTATTTTAAAGTCTGCACAAACATTTCTAAAAAATTCCTGATAACACTTGTAATACTGTGTTAGATGGGAGTGAGTTTTTATGATTTGATATACTGAGCAAGGTAACATTAAGGGATTCAGGGAAACTAGTTAGCCATACTTCAGTCCTGAAGGTGGGAAATACAATGCCTGCACTCTGAAAGTGGGAAATACAGTGCCTGCACTCTGAAAAGCTGTGGGGATGTTGCACTTTGGAAAGTCATATGTACTTTTGGCAACACAGTTACTGAATGAGTGACTGTGAAAGTGTTTTCTGTTAGGTCATCCCTACCTTGGTGGAAGATGGCTGGAGTGTTAACAAAACTTGTTATTTTTAAATCCCTCCATGAACTCTACTTGAGTACTTTGTAGTTGTCTCAATACTATAGTTCCTCTTGTACTTCTTTTTAAGAAATAAAGTAAGTTTTAAGTAGATTAAGAAGGCTTGCAAACTAAATACAATTTTAAATTCTGTGTACTATATAAATTAAATGAAAGCTATTTGTCTATTAACAACACTCCAATACTACCAAAATAACTAAACAGAACAAATGAAGACATGTGTAAGAATAAATATATAAACTACATTCATTCTCAGGATAAGCACATTAACTGGAAACAATCATAGTTAAATAGTTATACTGGCTTCAATACTTGTTTGGTATTTACATCTTCAAGTGTTTTTCTTACATCAAGAGTGTCATGGCACTGAGATTCCACTTGAGTATTATCTTGACTGTTTTCTAAGTCTATCATTTCCGTAGATTCCTCATCACTATAGTAGTTAGACAGAAGGCGAGCAAAATCTCTACGGAGAACTCCCTTGTCTTTTCGAGGTTTCCGAGGCTTCTCTGATTTAAAATTTCGCTTGTAACTTGGGCTGTGGGTTTTTGTGTGGTGCATCAGCTTTTGCTGCAAGGTATCAAGAGCATTACAAAAATTAGAATAAGAAAAATATTAATAAAAGAATAACAAACATACAGATGGATAATAAAGAAAAACGAGGATTGCAGAAAATGATCAAAGACCTTCCTCCAATAAATACTGTATACCTTAAGATATTATGGTATCAAATACAGTCTCTCAGTCATTAACATTAACAGAAGATATAATGAAGATGTTATGATATCAAACACAGGCTCTCAGCCGTCAACATCACTGAAAGGTATAATGAAGATACTATTATGATATTAACGCTTTGACTATCACAACCCCAAATCCTGAAGTGTCTCCTGGTGTCGAAGAATATTAAAAAAAAAAGTATTTTTTCTTTTGAAAATGTTAGGATTAATTTTCTGATTATTTTAAGCTCCCCCTTCCCCCAAATTTTTGTGATCAGTACTTACCGAGATACAGAGGAGTAAGGCTGGCAGAAACTGAGCCGTGTATGGCAACAGTGGCGAATGCCGTTCACCCGGCAAACTTTGGTTTACTTCCATTCGAAGGTTTCTTGTTTTTTTCACTATTTTATTTTTTCAGGTAACTTATGTGGCCTGTGAGACCAAAGTAAGGTGCAATGTACATATATACACTGGTTGTATACAACACAATAAGCACACAAACAATTATCAATATATTGTTTACAAAACTTGCTTACACAAGCAAACAATACAAAAATTTTTTATTACTATTGTTCTACAATATATATACAAATGTACAGTCACTGGACATGTTCCTAGAAGCTCTGCAGCTTGAGGAACTCTCTGAAACATGGTGTCATACACAGTGGTGTTTTACACTCCTCACACATAAAACAGTGTCTCTGCATTTATGTGGGCATTTTTTTGTATGTGCACAGACAAAACACCTTGTCTGAGCAGTTTTCTTCAAAGCAGTAGCAGGCAGTTGTGTTAGGTAGTTATCCTATGTAAATGTGTCATCATTCCTTTTTACCTTCCTACCTACCTTTCTTTCTTCATTCTTTCTTTCCTTCCTTCTTTGTGGTTTCTTTAATATATTTTTTTTTATTTTTTTATTATCACACCGCGATTCCCCACCAAGGCAGGGGCCCAAAAAAAAAACTTTCCCCCCACATTCACTCCATCACTGTCTTGCCAGAAGGGTGCTTTACACTACAGTTTTTAAACTGCAACATTAACACCCCTCCTTCAGAGTGCAGGCAAGTACTTCCCATCCCAGGACTCAAGCCCGGGCCTGCCGGTTTCCCGAATCCCTTCAAAAATGTTTACTTTGCTCACACTCCCAACAGCACGCAATTTTAAAAACCATTTTCTCCTTTCACCCTAAAACAGCTCACGCATCCCTGCTGGAAGTCCAACCCCCTCGCACACAAAACCCCTTTACCCCCTCCCCCAAACCCCTTTCCCTAGGCCGACCCCTACCCCGCCTTCCTTCCACTACAGACGATACCCCTTTTGAATCATTCGTTTCGCTCATTCTCTCTACAGTCCGAACCACCTCAACAACCCTTCCCACCCTCTGGACAAAAGTTTTGGTAATCCCGCACCTCCCCCTAACTTTTCCCAAAATACAATTTCCCGCATTATTTCACACCACACTTGCCCTCAACGACATCCCACGCCTCCAGCCTTCCCCCTGCAAACTTCATCACCCACGCTTTTACACCCATATAAGACGTTGGGAAAACTAACTCTCAACATTCCCCTCTTTGCCTCCAAGGGCAAAGTTTTTTTGTCTCCACAGACCCTAATGCACCCCTCACTCTTTTTTCCCTCATCAATTCTATGATTTACCTCATCTTTTATAGACCCTCCCCCGAAACTCCCCTCCCCAAAAAATTATACACATATTAAATCACGGACACTTTCACAGAACTGCTATTTTTTCAGGGAAGTTTTGTTTGTGTGTTGGTGGACTTCTAAAAGTGCTGAGTCAGATCTGGGAGCTTCACAATGACATATTATATCTTACTCACCACCCTCTCCTGAACACAATGGGCCAATGCTTGCTTCCCCACCACCTCTACCTAATTATCTTTTTTCTCCTCTTTCTTCTTCTTTTTTCCTTTTCCCTTCTTTCTTCTCCTCTCTCCTTCTTTTCTCTTTCTTTCTTCTTTTTTCTCTTTCTTTCTTCTGGTATCCTGGGCATTGCTTTCGGTCACAAACTCCTCAAAACCACGAAATTCATCTTCACTGACACTTTCGGCTGTGTTAGAGTGATCACTTGGGAAGAGTCCCAGATTCACCAGGGAGTCACATATTTCTTACCGCTAGGCATGCTGAACAAGGACTACTGAAATGTTATTTCCACAATGCATCACTGGCTCCCCGATTCTTTTTAAAGTGTGCACATTGACCATGGAGACTCATTCTCTCACATGTGGGCCTACCAGCTTTCTCCTGCTTGATCTGAAGCCGCTAGAATTTTGGCGTATTAATACGTCAAACACACTGGTTCATAAGACATATATATACGACCGTAACAAAGAGTTAAGCACAGGCTCTCAGTCATCAACATCGATGGAGGGTATAATGGTGACAGCACAGGATTCTTTTTATATACAATGGGTTTGCCTAGGTCAAGTGGTTTTTAGAAGAATTACAACAATAAATACCTACACTAAAAAAATAATTCAGTATTTAACCCTTTGAGGGTTTTCGTCGTACTAGTACGTCTTACGCGTAGGGGTTTTTGACGTACTAGTACGCATAAATTCTAGCGGCCTCAAATCTCGCGCGAAAAGGCTGGTAGGCCTAGGTGTGAGAGAATGGGTCTGCGTGGTCAGTGTGAGCGGTAGAAAAAAAATCTGGGACCCAGTGGTGCATTGTGGGAATGCCCTCTTAGTAAACAATGTCCACCATGCCTCGCGGTAAGAAGCTCCTCACTCCTCGGCGAATTGGGACACTTTTGTTCCCCAGTGACAGTTCTAATATGATGGAAGTGCCAGTGAAGATGAGTTTTCGTGGTTTTAGTGGGGGTTTTGACCGAAACTAATGACCATAATATCGGTAAAGTGAAGAAAAACCCAGACGACCCTCAGCCTTCCACCTCTGGTGCTGGGCCCTCGTTTTTCACGTTCAGTTTTCCAGAACCCAAGAGGAAACTTCTATTTTCCCAAACCCCCAAGACTCAGATGAGAGCAGGGGTGATGATAGTGATAGTGAATAGAACTACAAGCTCTTCAAACTAGTTCCAGTAGTGATAGTGAAGTGCAATATTCCCCAGGGGAGCGTCAGTATATACGACGATATTATGCGCTCTGGAAGTGTGCCATATGTTATACCAAGGGAAGGAGTGTATCTCGGAGTACATCCCGTGGCTGTACAACAGGAACAGACATGAAAATGACGAAGATACTGTTGCAATTGGGATGGAAAATGTGCGTGGTGGTAGTGGTGCCCGGGGGTGAGGCACCACAGTGGGCCATCTGCCACCCACGCCGCTGCCTCAGCTGATCTAGAACAAAGGCCACCATCCCCCACTCCCCCACCACACCAGCCTCCACAACCACAACCTCCACAACCACAACCACCTGTCATTGTCCAGAAACCCACCCAGCAGACCGCACCCGGGGATTGGCAGGAAGCTGTCAATTTTGTTCCAAAATCCCCACCAGTTTGATGGCAGCCAAATGGAATACGGCCATCTTGGTGCACTTGGGAACAATGCCATGAATGGAATGTTTCGAGTTATCTTTGACGAACCACTGATGAAAAGTATTGTCATGGAAAGCAACACATACTACGGTACACCATGGCCAACACAAATACTTCACCAAAATAAACGTCTACAACCAAGGAGGAGGCAACTGTGGCTGAGATGTATCTTTTCTTTGCCACAAATAATGCTTATGCCACATGTGTATAAGCACAAATGAAATCATACTGGTCAACCAGCCCCCTGATTGCAACACCCAGGTTTCAGTGATATAATGCCAGTGAATCGTTTTTGTGCTAATGTTACGTATGCTTCACTCTCAGTAAAACCAGGCCTGACAGAACTGACAGGTTATATAAGATTAGGAATGTTTTTGTGTATCGAAACAAAAATTCAGTACTCATTTTACCCCTTCAGGAAGCTTTTTATTGACGAGTCTTTGATTCTGTTCAAAGGAAGACTCTCTTTCAAGCAGTACATACCAACAAGAGGAAACGTTTTGGGTATAAAGTTGTTTTGTGCTTTGTGATTGTTACAGTGGTCTGGTAGGGAAATATTATTGTGTACACTGGAAGTTATCCCATTGCAAAATACCAGGAAGTTATTGGGCATCTCAGGTGATGTGGTTCGAAAATGAAAAGAACCATACCTTGGTAAGGGCATATATTATATACAGATAACGGGTACACAAGCCCCTCACTCAGTGATTTTTTGCGAGTGAACATGACAGATGTTGTGGGGCACAGTGCGTGCAAACGAAAACATATGCCCAGGTTTGACGCTGGCACTCGCAGAGGTGGGGTGCAGGGTTTTGCTGCCAATGACATCATGGCATTTGGGTGGCATGACAAACGAGATGTCACACTGTTGTCATCAATTCACCCTAATGAAATGGCAGACAGTGGCAGGCAGCATAGAGAGAGAAATGAACCCATTCAAAACCTGCAGCTGGATTGATTACACCTTCAACATGCGTTCAGTGGACAAATGTGACATGCAGATTGGGTTTGCTGATTGTGTTCGAAAGAGTTATAAGTGGTACATAAAACTGTTTTTTTTCCATCTTCTGGACATTTCCATGCTCAATGCTTATAATATGTATAAGATGAGCACCAGAAACAAACCACAGAAACGGCGAATTCTGTTTGTCTGTCATCAGACAAAAAGATTCAAGTACCAAGGAAAGCAACCTGCAATTGACCGCCCACCAAATTATCAACAACTACCTGCTGTCGAAGCATGTGATCACTTCCGGGAAAACTGCCGTTACTGCTTTTAAGAAAAAGGCTCAGAAGAGGTGTTACGTCTGTTCACATACAAAAAAACGCCCACAA